CATCTTTTCTTTCCAGAGAACAACCTGGGAACCTTCTGAGACCTGGAGGCTATCTAGATTTAACTACTTGCAACAGTCTCAGGTACAGGTAGGAGGCTCAGAATGACCTGGAGACAGGAGTTAGAAAACTCAGCAAGCAGCAGGTTTGACAGCCAGCAGTACCCCACGGCACTGTTTGAGATGACTGTCATAAAGCTCCAAGGCATGATACTTTATACTGGTGGGGAGATGGCGCTTCACAGCGCACGCAGATGTGTTTGCCAAGCCCCTCATGCATGGCTGAGTTAAGGCAAGAGGTGCTAACGTGCCTTAACTGTCAGGAATAATGCATTCTGCCGCTCTCATGCAGCTGAGGTTAGCTAGGAGAGCACCCACACACAATTACCAACAGTGGCTGTAATTAGACTGTATATCCGAGCTAAGACTAATGCAAATCGTAATACAGAAGCGAGTTCTGTTCTTTTCAGCTTTAAGCAGACATCAAGTACATTTCTTTAAATATTCTAGATGAGGGTTCCACAGGAATCTGCTGAAGCTATTGACTTCACAGGGAAAGGCTGGGGGGCATATCTACATATGCTTTTACAACCTGTGCAATGCCTTCAGGTGTTTTACTGCTTCAGGCAAGGCTTGGTAGGCTGTTTGAATGAACACTGATTTAAACAGACATCCTTTCTATCCACCCACGTCAGGTACTGTTGTTAGTCTGTACCTCTTTGTCACACAGGTCTCCCAGGAAGAACTGCACTCTGTCATTGTCAAATCTCTTCTGAATATCAAACACGTTGACTTCGTAACCTTTCTGCAGGAGCTGCTCCACCATGTGCTGGCCCAGGAATCCTGACCCGCCGATCACTGTACATTTCTTACCAGTCTGCAGAAACAGGGAGAAAAGCACTTCAGCAATCAGACATACACCAACAAACTGACCTGAACTTCCTGAGATCTTAATTCAGATATCCAAAGATTCTTCAATATGTCTGTGCTATCACAGTAACTTAAAAGTTCAGACGTGCTAATGGTCCACACAGATCACATGCTGGTTTGTATTTTGGCAGGACTCTGCCCCATAACTAAGTGGCTCATGTAGTAGGGAAGAAAAAGAGGACTGGCTCCAACAAACTTGGCCTTGATGGTAAAGCAAACAGCATTTTCTTCAGCCACACGGCACAGATAATTCAGAATACTAAAACTGTCACCATTAGCAAGGAGAAAACTATTTTCAGAGCATGTGAAACAGGCTTCTCCAAGCCAAGAAAGCAATCAGGTAAAGGCAAGGATTACCCTTTTTAGTCAGTCATTAGCTCTTCCTTTCCTTTTTAAGCTTTTTAAAATCAATAGCTAGAGTCACTAATTAACAGATTCTGGTCTGGTCCCTTGTCTAACCAGACTGAGACTGAAGACCTTATCGCCAACACTGAACATACAAGCAACGAGTCTGAGGATGCTTTTGGACAAAGAAAGCCCTGTCCTGGTTGGAAACAGATTTGCTCCTTATTGTTGCTGCACAAAACCCCACCTCTGTCGTTATACCATTGAGCTGAAGGGAATTTTAACCCAGTGAAACCACACAAAGACAAGAATTGTTCAAAAGCTTCTACGTGCTACATCCTTAAACAAAGGTTCTACTGCAAAGCGTCGGTTATCCACAAGAAAATTTAGAAGAGTTACAGCATAATGGTGTATGCAAAATACAGTCTGATTAAGACAACTGAAAGAATAGTCTAATGGGTTGGCCCAGTGTTTGGTTTTGATAGTTGCAAGAGAACAGACAACATAGAGAGAATACGTGAGCCTAAGGAGTCTCTGCAGTTCATTCTCCTTGTACTCCCCCACTACAACAGTTTTGCATTTGCTTTACTCATCAGCTTCCCGATTCTCTAAACTCACACAATGCACTTAGACATGCTGAACCAAAATTTTATACTGGCAGAACAATGCCCTCTGCCTGGCTCTGAATATCAGAACCATTTTCTACCAGTACAGATGAGACAGTCCAGGTTTTTCTGTGTGACAGCTTTCCACTCACCCAGGTATAAGGACAGTATTCTAGCTGGTGATGAGAAGCAGGCTATTTAAATAAACTTTAATGCACATTTATAACATTCAGTGTGATCTAGTACACACACCTCTTGGGAAAGTACTAAATGAGCCAACTCAGTGACCAGAATCAGTATAACTGCAGCTAACGGTGCTACACCTGGATTAATTAGCTGTTTTAAAAAATGCAGGTAGAAAGCCAGGCTATGCATGATTATATTGATTTTATGTTATGAATTGCTACCTATCTAGTGTTGTGCTATGAAGATACAACAGCTTGTTCAGGCTTTCTACCACGATGCTACATTGTTTTTTTTGTTTCTCTGTTTCCTAAATATCTGAGATTTACTGGTCTTCCATAAGCTTCATATGAATTAATGAGAAAATAGTTCTCATTACTCTCAGGTAGAAATTTCTCTGCAAACAAGAACTACAGGTAATGCAACAAAACAGCTTTATAAATTGTACTCCTCAAAGTAATGTCCAAACACTTCTCTGAGCTGAGCAAACTGTTACTCCTTCCATATTCTAACCTCCTGTATTCAGCTCAGTAATCATAGAAAGAGGTTACAATGGTCTAGGAGATTTCAGGGACCTCAACTGGGCCTTTATCTGCACCACAACATGGAATAATGTTACAAGGCACATAGAAATAAACCTAGAGTAACTAAATCTCCAGACCAGTTGATTTGGCAGCACTGACAAAGCCACTGGTGTTCCTGGGAGGGTCGGAGCAGTCCAGGATCTCTCACAAACTATAGCAGCAGTAAACTATTCCTTGGTAAATCACATTGCCCCCAGGAATATCTCTGAAGTAGGCACTAAAGCAGAAACAGTCTCATATCTTCTCTAGTAATGTTCAGAAGAAATATCTATGAAAACACATTCGTGCAAGACAAATCTTCATAAAGCATCATTTAAGTCCTCAACTTACCGATCTGAGACGTGTGGCCATTTCTCAGATGATTCACTTTCAACTCGATTCCTTTAAAAAAGGAGAATATTATTTATTAATGATACAATACTTAAGTATGCCATTAGCACAAACCAAACTTTTATTTAAAACACATTTCTAGTTATAGAAATCAAGGGTTGATGCCGTCATGCTAAAGCAGAAACATGAAAAGAGTGAGCTAATGCCCTCTGCCCTGATGAACAAATAAGCAGTATGATAGTATCGGTGACATCAAATATCTTTCTCAAAGGCATAGTTTTAATATAATAAAGTACCCTTGAGAACAAAGGCACCATCGTATTTTAGCTAGTGTCAGCTTCGTGAACTTCCTTTAAGTCTGAATATTTACACTCCAAATAACATGCTCACAATTGTAGGTTTTGGCAATGTCCTCTTCATAAATATAGTTGCTTAAGGTGTTGGAAACAATTAATTAAAACTGAAGTTTAAGGATTTCAGCAGCACCATGCCCGTCTGTTCCACAGCAGCAGACACAGCATGGAAAAAACGCCGGCACTCACTGGCACCTGTCAGTGAAGACAGGGGAGCCAGTGGTGAGATTTTCCTGGGTTTGACATCAGAGGCTGTTGCTGCCATCAGTTTCATTAAAATACACTCTTCCTCCCAGCAATAACAAACAAAACTGTGAACTCAGCTGGGATCCTACTGTGTGGGGGTATAATCGAAGGACAGAAGCGCACAACATGCCTATTCAGATCTGTTTCCAACATAAAGACAAGCTGCACACAAAGACTTCTGATGGCTTCACAGTCACTTTAAACCATCACTATGATAAACTACTGCTTTAGAGGCTGATTTGATTCTGCTTATTCCTAGTCAGTGCTTCCCACTACCTCCTGCTATTCATGCGCCGAGATGGATCAAGGCTACGACTACTTTCTGCCTGGGTTGGTTTTTAGACAGAGCAGCTCTCTGACCCATCTGGCTTCACAAACACTAGTGCCAACACAGCTGGATGAGGTTCAGGAGCAGCTACACCAACGTTGCTATAAAATTATCACATTCTCATGCCTCACACAAATACACCTGTTGGACTGGCTCACTCTCGAGGCTACACAGCTTAGCACTCCTCGATTTTTATGAAAACCCTTTGAAATTTTTACTGAAAACCTTTGAAAACCCTGAGGAAACAGCCTGAAAAGGAGGATTGGTACCTGTCCAGCAGGAACACCAAGCTGGTTTGGAAGTACGGGCACAGGGTGAAGAGTTACCCCCGCTTCTACCCCCACCTCTCCCTTAACACAGGCCTTACCCCTTTTCAAAACACACCCGATGTCTCCAGCTTCCCTCCAGCATTCCCAGCCCACCCTCCCATCCCAGTAGCCCTCCCCACTTCAGCCGCCACCCACCCCACCCCCCAGCTTTCCTCACACGCCACTACAACCTGCCCTTCCTCGCACCGCAGGCCCCCGCAGGCCCCCTCACACCCCTACAGCACCGCCCCGCCCCACCCCCTGCTCCCGGTCTCCCCCACACACACACAACCTGCCCCATGTTCCCCCTCACAGCCTCACCCACCCTTAGCTCCGCAGCCCTCCCCACAGCCCCGCCGGCTCTGCTGCCTCCAGCCTGCCCTTCCCCACACTCCAAGCCCCCCCCTCAGCCCTACCCCTCACCGCACCGGCAGCGCCCTCAGCCCTCCGCAGCCCGCCCTCACCTCGCCCCGCCCCTCCCCGCCCGGCTCCGCCCCCCGCCCCCCCGCCCACCAATCGGCGTGGGCGCTTCCCGCAATCCCCGCCCCCTCTCCCCCTCCCACCCTCCCACGCTCCCTGGGCTGAGCATCGCGCTAGCCGGCTCTCCCTCGCTGATTGGCCCGCGGCTTCCTCCCTCCGGCCAATCGCGTTGAGGGAAGGAGGACAGGCTCCGCCCCACTACCACCTCTTGGACCCGCCCCATCCGCGCGTTGGCCAATAGCTACCGACGAAGCGCCTCCCGCGCCCGGCTCGCCAGCGAATAGGAGCGAGGGTTGCCATAGCAGCCGCGTAAACATTAGCCAATGGGAGAGGGTGGTATTGAGCCTCGGCCTGCCAGGACTGGAGGCGCCCCGAGGCACCGGCCGCCGGGATGGTGAGTGCGGCCCGGCCTCCCGTTCCCGGGGCGGGGGTGGGGCCCTGCGCTGCTCCGGCTTCCCAGCGCCACTGCAGCGGGGAAGCCCGGGACCGCGGCTGTCGCTGTCTCACCGGCCTCGCTCCCCCTTCCCGGGGCGGCGCCTGACACCTCCCCCCTTTGCTCTTGTGTTGCCGTGCCAAGGCCTCTAGCTTTAAGAAGCCCTCGCTAGGAGCCCAGAGGAAGAAAGCGAGCCCCAAGCTGGAGCTGACTGAGGAGCAGAAGCAGGAGATCCAGGAGGCTTTCGACCTGTTTGACACAGACGGCACCGGGAGCATAGATGTGAAGGAGCTAAAGGCAAGAATCATCCTAGTGCTAAAACTACAGCTCTAGTGAGGTTATAAAGTAACAGGGGCATGAGTGCCTAAATGACCTTAAACAGGAAAAGAGAGAAGTTTTTTGCCCCCATCATAAAACCTTATTGTCAACAGGTATATTTTTCTCTGTAATTATAGATCTTCATTGCTGTCACCAGGCGTCTTTAGCGCCAGGATGGCCAAAACACATTGACAGTTCTGCTTTTTCTGTACTGCCACCTTGTCTGTTAGTAAAACATCAAAAAGGGTTTGTGCATATCAAAAAGGTGTTGTTTTTTTTTTCCCCCCACTTATATGTTATTGAGGATTGCATGCTTTGCAAATTAGGTTATCCAAGCTAGGGAATACACCAATGTTACTTGTTTTCATGCTCCTATTTATTGCAAAACACTTTCGGTACCTCCCCACCCCTGTCCTTTGGGAAGAATAGTGATCAATAAATTAGGACATCTTTTCCTTTCAGAGTTTGCCTTTCCTGTTTGCTAGCTGGATGCCGGTATTACTTAAGACCATAGGGAGGAGAGAGCTGATTTCAAACCTGCCGCTTGTCCAAAGGGATATCTTCAATAAAGATCAAAAGAGGAAAAGCTGAAGTGGGTAGGTGTGTCTGCAGGCAGAGGCATCCTTGGATACGCTGGTTATAGGAGCGTTGTCAGAAAGGCACACCAAATGTTTGAATTGTGTTTTCCCAACACCCGCTGAAAAATATTTTTGTCACTAGAATGAAAAATAACTGATTTAAGTTCCCTGTGGTTCATCAGCTTAAGCCCTTACATGTTTGTGCCATCAGATCAAGTTATCAGAGTTCAGTAGAGTTGCAAGTATGATGGAAACTTCTTTCACGGAGTCAGTTGTCTTGAAGTTACTTTGTTGAGATGTTTCTGGATCTTCCATCTAGCCATCTTGCTTACAACAGGGCCTGAAATAAGCATGTTTTTTTTATTTAATCGGTGTCTTGTTTCTCCTTGCAAAAAGAATACTAGTAGCAATTCCCTTGACAGGAAGGGAATAACAATTTTCCAGTAGCCTTGTAAAACGCTACCCACAGCACTGTGTGACAGTTTGGGATTTTTCCTTCAAACTGTTGATCAAAATGGGACTCTTACGCTCTGAGTGCCCATCACAAACATTTTTAAAAGTATACCAAAATAGGTATACTATGACTTTATAAAAAAAATCCAAATTTTCTTAGAGAAACTATTTTTCCCAAGGCTTTGTTATACAGCCTTACTCTCCAACTTCTTGCCAGTTCTGAGCTGGGGGTGGTGGATGCAATGGTAAGAACGTGTTTAGGAAATTTCTGAATTAACTGAAAGACAACTCCATAATACAAATGGTTGCACTCCTGTTTTCTGCATCTTGATGAGCCCTTGTGTGTAGAGAAGCACTGCTCAAAGTCTGCTCCTCACCTTTCTGTTTTCCTTGAGACACAGAATACGTGGTTTAACATGATATAGCTTGAAGTTCAACTTCCCCCCCCCCCCCCCGCCATGGTTTTGTTTATAGTTTTCTATGATTTATAATTTTATTTTTTTGTCCTTATAGGTGGCCATGAGAGCACTGGGGTTTGAACCTAAAAAAGAAGAGATCAAGAAAATGATATCAGATGTTGATAAGGAAGGAACAGGAAAAATCAGCTTCCATGACTTCTTGGTAGTGATGACACAAAAAATGGTATGTAAATTTTAAAAGTCAAAGTGAAAGCAATTTTGGAAATGGCTGAGTACCTTTCATCTTTTGGTTTTAGTGGAAGATGAAAGCACTATTTTAATCTTAACAACAAACTATGTAAAAGTTAGAATTGCAAGACAGGGACTACCCTACCTCATTTTTCAAGGTAAGGTTGAAATAATTATGTCATTATCAAGTTTCTCTAACAATCAGTTTTGTGCGTGTGTGAGAAAAGGGAAAAAGTTAAATCAATAATTTTTTTTTAATCACAGATTAAAACCAGCTCTGGCCTGCAGAAAGCTGTTGGGAGTTTTGGCACATGACATGGATGACTGTGTAGCAATGCACTCTATTTTCTTGAGTTTTGAGATAGTTACAGGTGAAATCTCTGGCTTTAAAAATCTTAAAACATGTTGAGTAAAATCAGATATTTAGCAGTGGAAGATCATGATGCTGAAATCCCAAAGACATCTGGCTAGCTATGAAAGAAAAAAAAAAATACCCTGAAGTTCAGGAAGCATGGCTGTGCCTCTGTCTACCTCCAGCTTTTGTACTTACACTTCCTGCTGGCTGGCCTTCCTTAAATTTGCTCTTAAGAGAGTTTCTCAGTCTTTCTAACGCTTGTCTTTTTATAACTTTTTGAGTGTTACTTATATCATAACCACTACTTTTTTCCCCTTAAACTTATGCTTACTTCTTTAAGGCTGAAAAAGATTCCAAAGAGGAGATTCTCAAAGCTTTCAAACTCTTTGATGACGATGAAACTGGCAAAATCTCTTTCAAAAACCTCAAACGTGTCGCCAAAGAACTGGGGGAAAATCTCACAGATGAAGAGCTGCAGGTTTGTACCTGGTATATCAAACAGTATCATACACACAGACACTGTGTACAGTGGACAAAGGTCCAGATTACGCCTGTTGAACAGGAAGCCAGTCACAGAATGTTCATGTATTACTTAGTTTCATATTTGGATTTGGTTTAAAACCTATATAAATACAAGCCTAATTCTCCTTTTGCCTGGAGAGCTGAGCCATCTCTGACAAGTTTGCTAAGCGCATGAGCTAGCAGCGAGAATAAGGAATGGCACCTGTCTCGGTGGGGGAATGAAGCCCTTGCAGGGTCATTTTTTAGGTAAAGGCAGCAGTCTCTGTTGCAGGTGCTGTCCTCTAGCGTCCTGCGGGATCTTTACGTTTGAACTGTTGGGAAAATCTGCCCGCTCGCTCCTGGCAGAGACGGAAGAGCTTCTGTCAATTTGTGATTGGGAAATGGATTCTGAGGTCAAAGATGGGTTAAGCATGCATGGCTGTTGAAATCATGTTAGTAGAATTGCAGTTCTGTGGAGTTACAGTGATGTAAAAGGAACAACTGCTCCAAGCACTTTGTTTCTCCCAGGATAGTTCCTGTAATACAACATTCTCTATGCAGATTTTTGTGTAACTATGTAGTTAAACATACTAGTGTCTAATTCAGTAAACATTTTGTAGCACAGTAAACTAACACTGTTCCCTCTGATACAATTTACTAAAAAGTGGTTCCAATTCTGAATTAATCTAATAATTCTAATCTTAGTCTAATCTGCATCTAATTTCTGAATACAAATATCTTTCAGGAAATGATCGATGAAGCAGATAGAGATGGGGATGGGGAAGTGAATGAACAAGAATTCTTGCGGATCATGAAGAAGACCAGCCTTTACTGAAACAGAATTTTATTTTTGCACATGTGTACATAGGTTTGGTAGGTTTTTTACAGTCTTTGATTTCTTTTGAAACAGCTGAAAATGTAGGTCAATATTTAAGTGGATGATCTGAAACTTGTGTTTGTGAACAGTTATCAACTGCTAACCTGTTTACATGCAGCAACCTGGTTGCTTGTTTGTTCTTGTAAGATGTTTACACTCTTTGTTTTCAATATACAAATCACATTTTTCAGTGACAGTATTCAGATCTTCTCTATAGTTACGGTTTGGTAAAGAGAGGACTCGCAACCAGATAGTGTAAATCTCTATTTCCTAGCAGTTGAAGTTTTTGGTGTAATGTCTTGCTTTGGGCCCAGTTATAGTGAACTCTTTATATAACATATTTGCAGGGATCAGCTTTTATACTCTGTCTTATGGTGATTGTCCCCTTCCCCTTTTTTAGTATTTTCTTTAAACTGAAAAAAAAATTAACAGACTGCTGCAACTTGGCTTACTCCTATTCAGTTCACATGTTCAAAGAAATTTCTTTGCAGAAGAAGCGAGTTACAGTGCTGCTGCTGCAGGTTTGTGTGTTCGCAGGAATATTCAGTGGCTACAAATATAAAACTGTATTTAAAATAAAGTGTCTTTATTTTAAGGCATTGGAGTTGTGGAAAGAAGTATACAAAAACGCAAACAAATCCGCCAGTACAGCATGCCCTCTGATCTGCTGACGGATAATAGAACTATTCCTCCAGGCGCTTGAAAAGTTTCGCATTTGAAGTCCTTGGGAGGGCCCTAGTTACTAAATGCTGAGCTCCAGAGGCAGCAGCTACAGCAGAATCTGCCTTCGAGTGGTGTCCGGCTGAGGTAAGAGCGTAGCTGAAGAATTTTGCCTTGTGCTGGGAGGAAAGGAGCGCCCGTGCCCTTCTGCTACTTCTCTTGGTTCCTCTCATCCCTCACGCCTCCCAGGCAAAGGAAGGAGAGAGTCCTCCTTTCCAGAAATCTGAACGTCTTCCTGACTCAAAATCTGATTTATTCCTTTGCGATTCTGCAGTCTCTCGTGCCCCTGTATGGTGAAACACCCCCAATTACAGGAAACTTTAAAAAGCAAAATCAGATTTCTAATTTTAACACAACACATAGGTAAAGGAATATGTAAGGGGCAAGTGGTACATCAAAAACTGATTCTTTATCGGCCAAGGTGAATTTAGTAAATGCATGACAGCGATCGTTCATTCTCAACAATAACGTCCGCCGTCCGACATTTTACCTCAGCGGCACCTGCAGCCACCGGTCCCGCGCCCAAGCCGCGCCTCGCCCAGTCAGCCCCCGCGCTTCCCCTGAGGAGCAGGAGCGATAGCCAATGAGGAGCGCGGTTACACGGAGCAGGGCGGGTCGTGGGATGGTAAGCGGGGTGGCAGGGCCGGGCCCTGCCTCGGGGCTCCTTAGGGTGGCCTGCCGCCATCCCGGGGGTTCCTCTGGGGAGCTGCTGCTCGGCTTGTCCGGCTGGGAAACCGGGAGGAGCGATAACGGCCCCCGTGGGCCCGTCTGAGGGCTCCGCACCTCTCCCGCAGGCTTCCAGCAGCGAGGGAAGGGCGGCCGAGGGCAGCTCCGTGGCGGAGAAACCAGCCCCCCCATCCCCGCTCACTGAAGAGCAGCGGCGGGAGCTGCGAGGTGCCTTTGAGTTGTTCGATCCGGACGGCTGTGGCCTGATAGATGTTGGCGACTTGGAGGCAAGAAGCTGTAAAAATGCAGCGTGTTGAGTGGTGAAAACAAAGGCTGTGAGGTCTAGTGGCCCTCGTTTGTCCTCATCCCCCCCCCCCCCCCCCCCCCCCCCAGCTTCAAGTGGGAGAAGAAAACCTGGTCAGGAAGGAGAACCACTGACCACAGCTTCTAGGAGGTGAAGCTGTTCCGCTGCTCTTATTAGATGCTTTCTTTACTACCCTGCTTGCAAACCTCCTCTTGTCACGTTTTCATCACGCTAAGCAGTGCTGCAGGGACTTCCTTTAGGCAGGCCCCCAAAACAGCAGAAATATGCAACGTAACCTTCCTCGCCCATTTCACATTGTGGAAAATCATATTACTGCAATATTGCTGTTGTGCTACAGTGCCTGCAGTGGGAGTTTTTAACGGCACATAGAGCTTGTCATCACTGTGCTGCTGATGGAGCTCGGCCCAGATCAGTAGGAGGTTTAGGTTTTTTTTTGTGTGATGCTGCGGAATAAATCCTGGGAGTCTCCTACCCTGTCTTTCTTCACAGTGACCCCCATCCTCAAGAAGTTGAGGAGGAAGGACATTTTGCAGGCAGTTCTCTAACAAACCCCGTCCTCTCACCAGCCTTTACAAACACAGTGCAAGTTCTTGTAGCTGAAGGCTGTTCAGTTTGCAGCTCTTGGGGATGTGTTTGCACAGTCTGAGTAACCCAGATCAGAAGCCTGGATCCCCTCGGGCTGGTAGAAATGACGCGGTTTCTTTGTGACCACAGTTGCACTTGGTGCTTGAATTGCTATTGTCAAACAGAAATGACTGGCCGTAAACATACATGTTGGCAGTGGGGCTAATCATTTACAAGTGCCTAATAAACGCTGCTGCAGAGCAGTGGCAAAGTGATTGGTGTTTGCCCCCTATTGCTTTTGAACCACTTGCTGTGCTAACAGACTTTGCTGCCTGAACTCCAACTCATTATGCAGCCACCAGTGAAAGGTTTGTGCCAGCTTACTAGCCAGGAAGCCTTAGGAGGGACTGAAGGCTCCCTTCTTGGCCCTTGCTGACAGCTCTTTGCTGCTGATTTTTCACAGCCTCATACTACTGACATTAGACAGCTACAGAACTCTGTTCTCTAGAGGCAAAATGGTGGATAAATAGCTGTTGATGAAGAGTTGGGGTTTTTTCCACCACTTTTGTGTATCTGCTTGTTTCAAACATCTTTCCCTGTTTGTTTCTGTTTTATTTGTTTACCATGACTTTCGTCTGTTTTCTCTTTTGGCAGATAATGGTAAGGGCTCAGGGCTGTGAATTGAGGAAAGATCAGATGAAGAGAGTTGTCTCTGAATTCAGTGGGGTAGGGTCAGGGAAGCTAACCTTTAAGTTGTTTCTGCAGAGAAGATGGTATGTGAGCCCAGTTTATCACAAAGAGTGAAATTCCTCATGCCTAATTTTATGATGCAGGTAGCCACAGTAGATTGAGTCACTCTGGTTCCCTGCAGGGGAGAAACAGGAGTGTTTCAGGAGTTTCATCTAAGCTATTTTAAAGATCTACCTTCGGGTGAATTGTCCTTAACCCTCTGGCCTCTTTCCATGCGCTATAGAGGGAACAGGATGGCTAGTTCAGATAGAGACAGCTGCATCTCAGCAGACAACTCCTTCCCATCCCGGAGTGCCCTGAGCACACACAGCACCTACGAGCCCCCACTTCCCTTCCTTAAACCTTTCCACGTGAAATTTCAGTTCTGTCTTTATAACCACAAAGCTATTTTTCTTCAATTCTAGACAGCGGTGAGCAACTGTCATACATCAGATGAACAATTCACCATCTTGTAGCGAAATCGTTCCTCGATACCCACTGACCCTGTCGGCACCACCTGCAGGCAGCAGCCACTCGACTTGTGCAGCATCTGAAGAGCTGCTCATCAATACTGGCTCTTTGCTTCATGTTCCCTCATCCTCATCACCCATCTGAGATTCCTGTGGCTCAAAATCCTCCATATCCTCTGGTGCCTGGCTCCCCGTAGACAGAGGCTGTTCTCAAGGAGCACCAGCTTGCGTGGTTCTGCCTTTCCCTTCCTTCCCATTTCATTGCAAGGCTTTGTGGGAGGTGACTGGGGCCTAGCTGGCGTGGCGTCGATGCGATCACAGTTCCCAGGCTGTGTGTGCACGGGACTCGTGCTGAGATCAGCAGAGAGCCCCGTTTTCCCCCTTGTCCAGTCAAAACCCACACCCGAGTGCAGGCTCAAGTACGCATTGCCTGCGAGTGAGGTGAGCAGGGGCAGTAAGAGCCAGCATTGGCCTGGCTCGCTTTTGAAATAAAATAAAGCTGTAGCCATTGGATCATCCTTGGCAGCTGCTTCTTCCTCCAGTAGTAGTGCTGGTCCCCCTCTTCCTGACAAAGCTTGGCCAGGATACTCACGCCAAGCCCCCACGGTGCTCACACAGCTTCTCTTGGAGCGTTTCCTTTAGTACACAGTTATACAGGGAGAGCGGGGAAGGCAAAGCTGAAATAGCAGCAGTAGGTAACCCTCTTCTGTGGCCACATTTTCTCAAAAATATCTTGGATCTGACTGCGAATGTTTGCTGGCTAAAGCGCTTGACTAGAGGATTGTAGGGTGGTATGATGTCATGTTTACACGATGGCATTTTTTGTTTCCTTGCTAAGGCGGAACCATGTTTGGAAAAGGAGATCCTGGAAGCTCTTCAGGTGTTTGGCTGGGATGCCACTGGCAAGATCTTTGAGAAGCTCAAGGTGGTGGCCAGTGAGGTTGGAGGAGACATCACGGATGAGGAGCTGCAGGTTTGTGAAGTGCAAACATTTCTCTCGTGCTCGGGGAGGGAGGGGAGCATCTCACTGCGGGGAAGACTGGTCAGGGCATTGTGCTGTGTGTTTTGCAATGGACACGATCTCTGGCTCACTTGGGCTTTGCCCGAGACCTTCATTGGTGTTTGCACTTCATGAGCAGCCACCCTCGCGCATCCAGCCTAACCTGGTCTCCAAGTCTTTGCTATCCCACAGGAGATGATTGATGAAGCAGATGTGGATGGAGATGGGGACGTGGACAAACAGGAGTTCCTACGGATTCTGGCACTGACCGACCCATAACTACAGGATTTTCTTTTTTTCTCCCATTCCCATATAAACAACCAGTTACAATGTCACTTTTCTTGTTTGTTGCCTTTCTTGGGTGTCAAAACACAGGAAAATATTGGTAATGTTTCATCTTTGGGGTTGATTTTCCCCTTCCACTAGTGTAAGCAGTTCTCTGCATCCCAGCAAAGAGTGTTGTTACTGGCTTTGTGTCTGTGTGGGTTGGATCTAATGTCAGAGATTAATTCAGCCAGTCCCTAGAATTCTCTCTACTGTAGTTACATCCTGTAGCTGTTCAGCCTATCTGATAAATCAATCAAATGCTCTTAATCTTAGAAAATTCTGTATAACTCTCAAAAGTTAGTGTGTATGGCAGAAACTTCTGTACCTTTCCTGAACTTCTGCATTGTGCAAAAGACAAGAGTTCAAGGGCTTGGGAACATTTTCTTTCCATAAGGTAACGAACAGCTTAAGCTGTGGGTTCTCCTTCAGAAGGAATAGTGTGGGAGAAAACTCTGCAGCTTGGAGGCCGCGTCTCCTATGGATTTGTGCTTCTGTCCTAATTAAATGCTAATTCAGTCTGAACGTTACTCTGCGGTTGGGGTACGCCCCCCAGTTCTCTATAGGGGATTGTTAAAGGCCCAAGGGAACTGGACTTTTTGTGCTAGCAAACATTTCCCTCCTCTTCCTGGCAGCTACTGTCCCAAACCTGGCTGGTCCTTTAGGTCTTGGAGGCTCTCACACCTTTGCAAAAGGTTATGGAAGGCGGACGACAGGCTGAAAATGATTTGTAGGAGGATCAGTGGAAAAAAGCGACTGGGTAAGCTCCATTTTCATTAGAAACCTGGGTAGAATTGCTGTATTATGGGCTGTTCTGTCACTGGCAGGTGTGCTTGAGCCCCTCTTTGCAGCACCACAGCAGCATGTGAGTAAATCTCTTCCCACTCTGGCCATCGGTGTAGTCTCGATGGATCGTGCCATGTTGGTGAGAATGCAAAAATATGCCCGTGTTTTGAAAAGGATGTAAAAAGCCTGAAGCGTTTGCTGAGAAGAGCCTCAGAAAATAGTTGCTGGCTTAGAAAATGTGTCTTACACTCAGAGAATTAAACAGCTCAGTCTGTAATGATTATATCATACTACCTGTATACCGAGAGCCTATATAAGAAGAATGTACCAGCTACCATTAGCTCTTGAAGCTAATGGAGACAAACCTGTCAGCATCCAGGGGCTGGAATTAAATAGGAGAGAAATAAAGCATGGCTTATCTTAAACGATGTTGGTTAACTGTGACAATGAGCTATCCAATATTACGGTGGTGTCCTGAATCCTCCCTGCAGGCTTGCTCCTGCCCGGTGCAGGTTGCTGTGCTCTTTACAGCTCCTGCAGAGCCGGCAGATTGCACGGATAGATGGTTCCCTCTGCCCGTGCAAACCCGTGCCCGGCCTCTTACCCCAACAGCTGTGCTGCTGGGTTATTTTCAGTGCCTGCTGCTTGCCAGACTTTGCTCTCGCCCAGGCCAGCTCACAGCTTGCCGTTCAGGTTTCACCTAGATGGGTTATCTTGTCTGTCCCTGTTGCAATGCAGAATTGGTCCTTCCAGGTTGTTTCTAGGAATTTTCCTAGAGACTGGAAGGGACTGGAAATTGCACTGCTTTGGGATGCCTAGACCCCGCCCTGGGCTCTTTCTGCCTCGGAGCAGTATGGAGGGCTGCTTCCAAAATACTCCGTGCTATCATAGCAGGCCTTCTGTTAATACAAGGGAAGGAATTTAACCTCTTCTCACTAGACCTCGATGCTAACATTGGTTTGATTCTTCTTTCACCCGTGTCATATTCATGCCCAAGTCTGGGTTCTGACAAATCCTAGCAAAACAAGCGGGGTTTGTTGCTGGTGATTTTTTCCTGTATCATTTTCCCCACTCCTTGGCCAACCAGTAGCATTAAAAAGCATGTCCTAACCCAGAGTAAAAAGCGAAAAACGAAAGCAGAATTCAGCCCATGTAAAAAGTGACAGGTTTTATTCAGTAGCAGAACCGTGTTCATTCTTTTTGCCACTAATTCATCTCTTGTGTGAGGTGGAGGGACGTGGGAAGCTTTGAAGTGCTGGCAAAGCTGGATGTGTAAGGAATTCCAATTCTTGCTGGCACACGAGATGCTCATGTCAGGTCAGGCCAGCCACGGCCGGCACAACCCAGGCAACTCAGCCTCTCAGAACCAAAGATGGTGCCTGTGTTTGAGCCCTGGGGAAAACTGGCCTCTGCGTGTCCACACTCCAGTTACTGCCAGTTTGCTGTCAGTGAGTGGTGCCTCCTTGGCAGAACACAACACTCCCGCAGCTCCGGAGTTGTCCCCCCTCAGCAGCCACCCGTGGGCTGGTGTGGGGGGAGAAGCCCGTCTGCGTAGCAGTTTGCCTGTTGACATATGGGTGTAAAAGGGGAAGGAGGTCAGCCAAGGCTCGGTGCCTGCGCTCCGGAGGAGATGGATTCTGTGGCTTTGTGGCATTCAGGCCAGTCTGACCACTTCTTTGACCATTTTCCCGATGCCGTCGTAGATCTCGTGAATGGGGGCGTTGCACATGAAGGCGCTGGTGGTCACCAGCTTGTTCTTCGCATCCACATGGATTTCAGTGACGTGTTTGTTCACGTGCTTGCAACCAAGCTCCTTCATGGTCTCGGCAGTCTTTGCGTAAGGCCATCTGCAAGAAGAAAAGAGAATAAACGCTGTGTGGGGAAGCTGCCATTGCACAGAGCAATCTGAGAAAGGCCTAGAGTGAAAAGTCTGTTGATTACAAAGAGATGGGTGGTCCCTAGAGAAAGCCTGCTCAAAGCTTTTCCTGACAGAGGAGTTTCTCCAGGTCTGCTAAACCAGGAAAATCTCCAGATTACAGTGAGGTAAAAATCTGAAGTAAAGCCAAAATAAGACCTTGATGTTCCACTATAGATGTTCCACTACTGAACTCTGCCCGCTCCAGACTTTGTGTTTAGGTTGGTTTGTTTTTTTTCACCAGCTTCCTACAAGTGACATTACCTCCTAGCCCTTCCTAGCGAGAGCCATCACACCTCCTTCCCTGCCACGGGGAAAATGCAGGCACAGCTTTCGTGTAGGAGTAGGGACAGTTTCACTCCCTCACTTAACACTGCCAAGCCTTGTGCAACCATCCTGTTCCTGCTTGACTTTATGAGTCAGGCGTCTGGTGTCTTTCCTACCCTGGGACCAAGAGGGGCATGAGACAGGGTGCTACGGACATTGGGGAGGCAAACATAAGCTTGTATTTAAAATTGTCTTATTTTAAGCCATCGGAGTTGTGGGAAGAGGTGCACAGAAATGCAAACAAATCTGCTGTCTGCTGACGGATAATAGAACTATTCCTCCAGGCGCTTGAAAAGTTTCACATTTGAAGTCCTTGGGAGGGCCCTAGTTACTAAATGCTGAGCTCCAGAGGCAGCAGCTACAGCAGAATCTGCCTTCGAGTGGCGTCCGGCTGAGGTAAGAGCGTAGCTGAAGAATTTTGCCTTGTGCTGGGAGGAAAGGAGCGCCCGTGCCCTTCTGCTACTTCTCTTGGTTCCTCTCATCCCTCACGCCTCCCAGGCAAAGGAAGGAGAGAGTCCTCCTTTCCAGAAATCTGAACGTCTTCCTGACTCAAAATCTGATTTATTCCTTTGCGGTTCTGCAGTCTCTCGTGCCCCTGTATGGTGAAACACCCCCAATTACAGGAAACTTTAAAAAGCAAAATCAGATTTCTAATTTTAACACAACACATAGGTAAAGGAATATGTAAGGGGCAAGTGGTACATCAAAAACTCTGATTATTTAATCTATCAATCAGCCAAGGTGAATTTAATAATTGTATGATGGGGATCATTCGTTCTAAGAAATAATGTTCCAACTCGCCACGAGGCTTCAGCTACTCGGGCAGGATAGTTGATACAGGCTGCTACGGATGTTGGGGAGGCATTGCTGGTTCTGGGATGTTCCTGGTGTGATTTTCTGTCAGCACCCCAAGGTTACTTACTTCTCACACTCTGTGTCATGACCCACGGTCAGCTCGCAGCCTGGGAAGATTTTGGCTGCCAGCACTGGGGAAATGCAGCACAGGCCAATGGGCTTTTTGGCAGCGTGGAATGCCTTCAGGACATCCTCCACCTCTTTGGAGATGATGCAGTTCTTGCCTTGAGTAGCCCAAGTACTCAGGTTTTTAGCCACTCCAAAGCCACCTGAGAGAAGAGAAACATAAGACCAGAAGATTAGTCCTCCAGGGCAGGATTTTTTTTCAGGTCTTACTTGGTGGAATGCTAAAATGGACTTGGTGGGTGGCAGCATTTGTCCAGTGTTGATAAAAGAATCAAAACCAGACAAGCTGAACCTTTGTGAGCTGACTGCCAGGAGGTGAGACATCAAAGCACGTTTGTTGCTTCATACAGAACTGAAGCGGAGAGGTATCCATGCTTGGTTGGGTACTGTGTTTCACCCATGAGTTATTTTCTGAATTACGGTGTAACATGCTGACAAGTTTTCACTTGTCTCTTAATCTTTGCTCCAGGCCTAATCCATCCCCACTGAAATCACATGCTCATACTGTCACTAAAGATGAATTGCCAGACCGATCAAGGTTTCTGCTTTTGAGTCACCCCCTCTTTGTCCCAGCCTCTTCTTCTCCTGGTAAGGCATGTTAGTGAGGGAGGGGACAGTTTTACATCCAGTAAAAAAAGGTCAATAGTTGGGACAGAGGATAATTCAGTTGGCAGGTATCTGCCATCTCCTCTTGGGATAAGCGTCTGCATTGCCGTGTGCTCTTTTAATCTAAGTCCAAGCTAGCACGCCAGTGCCAGGACAGATGGAATTGGATTCCTTCCAGTCCCTGTTTCCAGCCTGTCTTCTTCCCCAGTGGCTCTGCCCACCTCCTCTCCAGCCCACGGCTCCCACATCATTCAAGGCCAATGGCATCTCGAAGCTGTTCCCAAGACTCTGGGCGTGCAGAGCCGAGCCCGCGGGCCGCCCTACCTGGTATGATTAGGGCATCCAGCCCCTTGACATCCAGATTGGCTAGCTCCTTGATGTTGCCTCTGGCTATTCTGGCACTTTCAACCAGCACGTTGCGCTTCTCCTGAGTTGGCTGTCCTTTCACGTGGTCCACCACATGCATCTGGTCAACATCGGGAGCGTAAACCTCTGCCTGGGGAGGGAGGGGAAAGGCCTGTTATCCTTCAGTCACATCTCCTAAGCACGTTAAACATTGTAGGTAGTGAATGAAAATGCTTGAGTGACTTTGTTAGGAAGGAGCTTTGCTGGTGAATGCAGTGACCTTCAGGCTCACCTGGATCTGATACCGCATCAGGAAGGTTATTGTTGTAGAGAGGAGAAAGAAAGAAAGGTCTTTTATAGCTTCTGCACAGGAACATTTATCCTGACCTTAAAGGAATGAGGGTGTTGTTAGGTGAAAGCAAAGAATCTAGCCCCCACTGTTTTGGGGCTGAAGTGCTGGAGATGGAGCAGTGACTCCTTCCCTTCCTAGGAAAACGAAGTGTCCCAGGAGCCCTTGGTGAAGCCATTTCTTAGAGATTTCCACCCACATCCCAGTCAATCAATCAATCAATCACTCAATCACTCACCTAATCACCTTCACTGGGGCAGCCCCAGTCCTGCCCCAGCTGCCCCCACAAAGCCAGCCATCCCCTATGGGTGCTGACCACCCAGCAAGCTGCTGTCAAACATCACACCTCCCTCAAAGACAGGACTTTGGAGTTTCTTCTTCCCAGCCAGTGTTTTCCCAAAGCCAGAGAATTTCTTTTTTTTTTTTTTCTGGGAAACGTTTCCCCTTCCTTCAGCTCACATGCAGAAATGATGAGTGGAGGGTGGCAAACAGATGAGTGATAGATTTGAGGACAGTACATTTGCAGTTCTGAGGCCCAAAATTTAAGAAGGATGAGAAGGTACTTGGAGTCCAGAGGAGGGCAACAAAGGGCTGGAAGGAATGTCCTCTGAGGAGCAGCTAAGGACTTTGGGCTTCTCTAGTTTGGAGAAAAGAAGGCTGAGGGGTGACCCCAATGCTCCCTGCAGCCTCCTGAGGAGGGGACGGGGAGAGGGAGGTGCTGAGCTCTTCTCCCTGGGACCCAGTGACAGGATGCAGCGGGAGTGGTTCAAAGCTGTGCCCGGGGAGGTTCAGACTGGCCATTAGGGAGGATTTCTTTACCGAGGGGGTGGTCAAACACTGGAACGGGCTTCCTCGAGAGGTGGTCGGTGCCCCAAGCCTGTCAGCGCTTAAGAGACATTTGGACACTGCCCTTAATAACATGCTTTAACTTGGTCAGCCCTGGAGTGGTCAGGCAGTTGGACTAGATAATCCTTGTAGATCCCTTCCAACTGAAATAGTCTAGGCTGTGCTATGCTATTGTATTCTTTGTTTCCTTAGGCGCGCATGACCGAAAAATAAAAGGAAGAGATTGAAATAACGCCTGAGTTTCCTCCACGAGAGGTCCCTGCCGATCAAGGGATGAGTCTGGAATGGTGCTCCGCGACTGCCAAGGCAGGGTATGGCAGGAGGGGAGTGCCTGCAGCAGCTCCAGGAGAGGAGGAGAGGCAGAATTACACACAGTGGAGAAAAGGTTTGGCCAAGTCTCAGCACAGCGTGCTTTGAAGGCTTTGGAACTGAGGGGGGGGGGGGGGGGGGGTGGGGCTGGCTCCACAGCACATGCACATCACCGCCGTGCCTTTGTATTTAATAAAGCCGTTCCAATTCCCGGGAGAACGGCTCTGACCCAGAGTTGTGGGTGGCTCAGAGCTGAGGGTGACGTTACACAGGGCTTCTCTCCCTCCTCTTCCAGCCTCGCAGAGCGGCTGTTGTGACTAACAGCACACCAGAGCGGCTGCTTGAGGGTCGTCTTTTTTACCCCTATTCGAGTTCACCTCACAAGAACTTGCCTATTTTCAGTTCTATAATCTTTGGGGTTGTAAAAAGAATCATTTCAAACAGCCAAAAACAATAGTAGTCTTTCAAGCAGAAATACCAAAGGGGAAGTGCAAGCCAAAAAGAATAGAGAATGCATTTAGGAAAGTTTGTTTCAGAGTTTGGATACGCTCAACACAGAGCAGCAAGCCAGTCCTCTCGTAGAGCGAAGCTGTGAGAGCGAAGCAGAGACCGGGGAGTTCTCCTCGCTTGCTGTGGCAGCTCCTGCACTGTGCCCTCTGCTTTGGGTCCAGCCGTGCTTTGCAATTACCCTCGCAGCAACGGCGAGCTTGTGGTTTGTCCCGCAAGCTGCAAAGCTCCTTAGAGGCAAGTTCCTTCTGCCAGAGAGAGAGAGATTGGAAAGCAGGGCAGGGCAAAAGGAGCCGGAGATGGGGCAGGAGCCTGCCGGGGTGCCGCTTACCTCTGCCCCCTCCCTGCTGAGATGCACCAGCACAGCAGACGACTCGTGGATCTCGCTCCCGTCGTACACCCCACAGCCAGCCAGCACGACAGCCACTCTCTTTCCCATGGTCGCAACCAGAGCAGGAGGATTCCCTGGAGAGCCCCAAATTGCTGTGCATCTCTGTTCGCTGCCTGGAGTCTTTTATAGCGGGATCCCTCCCCCAGGAGCAGGTGGGGCCGGGAGGGTTGGGCTGAATTTCTTACTGGCAAGAAGGTTTTATTTCCAGTACCACAGGCAGGGCATGTAAATATTATTTGTTTCCTCAACTGACTGCTCCCTTTCAGATCTTCGTCCCGGCACGTTGTCTCCACAGCATCCCCAGCTGACATGACCCGTTTGACAGAGCAGCAATGTTTTTCCTTCTTAGCCATCGATTCTCCATTCTGTTTCAGACTAAAGTACCAAAGTCTTTGCACATAAGATGGTACCAAAGGGAGCCTGCCCAGAGCAGGTATTTAAGCCAGTGCATTCCTCTCTGGGCCCCGTTTTTTAAAACCCTACCCTGCATAGGCAGCCTCAGTCTTTTAACACCAAGATTTCCTTTTCTGACCTTAAATGTTCTTATCCTCATATCCCATCTCTCAGGAGCAGACGTTTTGCACTCAGCCGCAGTTGTTTCCTGGACTGGGGATCCTGAGGTTAGAAATTAATAACTCGATTCTTCATCAACAGCACCATTGGCCAGGAAAGTGGTGCCAGGAACTGGCAGAGCCCTGACCGCTGTAGGGGCACGGGGCAGCAGGATTCACAGCATGTGATGGGGAAATCCCCTTCCTCCTGCAGAGACTTGTTCTTCCTTGTCCTTGATATGCTCACACCTGAGATGATTATATGCCCCTCTATTTCAGCTTTGCACCAATGAAATAACCGTGGCCCGTTGGGGCTGTCTTGCCATTCTTCAGAGAACAAAAATCTTCATGCAACATGGCTGGAGAATGTTCTTCAGGGGTTATTTAGGAGAAATTTTCACTGGGTCTCTACGCTATTTGGAAGAGATGCGATACGTCTGTGTTTAATGAAATAATGTTTTGGCAAGTTCATTAGTCATAACAGACATGAGGAAGATACTCACTGCTAATGCATGTGACTGTTTACTGCATGCATCTCTTAAGACCAGTGATAACAAGCACCGCATACCCCTAGCTGCTACCTAGACAAGCAGGAACAAAAAGCGTGTGAGAAAGGACTTGCAGTCCAGCTAATCTAACACAGGCTTTTCATTTCAGTTACTTTTATTACCCAGAATGGGAATTAAACTGTGAGATATGTGTGGAAAACACCCAAAGCCTTTTCACTGCTGTTTGTTTTGGTATCTCAGGTATTCTAACTGTGATTTAGAAATGTATTATTTCCTCTTGCATGAAGAACCAGCTGAATCACGCTGCAACTTGAACAGATAGTTTCTTCTTCCTTCAACTGGTTAGAGAGCAGTCCCGTTAACGATGGAACAAAGACAGCCAGAGGCTGACGACTTAAACAAACTTACTGTTTGCTGCAGACCACATTGTTTAGCTCTGCCTGTTGCAAACTGACTGAGCTGGTTCCCCTTACTGGTGTAATTGGTGTACCAGACAAATCAGGCTTGTTCCAATGCGTGCTTCCTTATGTTATAAGATCTATCTCAATAGACATATCAAACCTAAAGATCTACCTGCAATAAACATATTATTGATAAATAACACTTTTCAGCCAAGTTACTCCATTCTATGTGGGAATGTCTGCATGCACTTATTACAGTAGAGACGTTGGGTTTTAATATTAACATCTTCTTTAATCTGCATTAATATTCTAGTGAAGTTGAGTGCAAGCTCTACTTGAACGGTGAACACAGTTGAAGTTGACTGTCCTCCAGAGCGCTGAAGACCCCAGGAAAGTTTGGGAGCCGTTTTAGGGATCCAGCTGCCCGACAGCAGCGTGCCATCACGCTCCAACTGGCTCAGAGAGCAGGAGGAGCACAGGGTCCTTTGACATTATCTGCAGACCCCGACAGTCTGGGGTTGTTCTGGATGCTGCTACAGCTCTAATGCTTCTTGGATGATCCTGGAGGCCTGTCTTTGAGCTCCAGTCTGTGCAGCATTAAGTCCCATTTCCACCAGCTTTTCTGTCCTCCGGCCCTGGCTGTGGAGCATGGCTTATGGGGGAACATAGAGCAGGATCTGCCTAGAGGAACATCACAGCTTGCCGCTGTAGGGCCTCTGCAGAGCCATCCTTGAGCAGCCCAGTAATATTAGTGTGAAGCTCTTCACACTGTTCTACATCTTTTATCTTGTCAAGAAGCTGAGAGTGGAATTTGCATTAACTGAGGCTGGTGGGAGCAGGAGCCGCATCCTTCATGGGAACAGCCCCTACTCTGCTCCCATTGCACACAAACAAAATGATGGAGGAGCACGTGTAAGTGCAGGCAAGTGTTGCCCCAGCTTCCCATCAAAGCTCTGCATCCCCTCTACTGGGAAAGACCTTGATGCCCGATCACATATTCTCTACAGGAAGCAGTAGCAAGCTCTGAATGAGTCCTTCGTGTCACCTCTGGGACAGAGCAGCGACCACAGCAGTGACTGATACTCACTCGCTGCCTGCACAGTTCTCCTGGGAAGCCAGCAAGACTCCTCGAGGTTTATCCTCCCACCAGTGGCCTCCAGACTGCGCGTTGGCATTGACACCTCACTCGGGAAAACCACTTCGGAGGAGTTTGCCGTGAGTGTGCGCAGGGCGGCTGGGTTGGGTAGAAGTGGAGTGACACAGGGACAGAAATCGCCTCTAAAGGAATGGCACTGAATCTGCCCTGGGTTTGCCCATCACAGGGCAGTGGTGCCAGGCATTCATAGCTGTGACAGGGACAAACAGCAGGACCATGGTCAGTGTTAGGAGAAATAACTGGTCCCCAAGGAGCTCCTGGGCTTGCAAAGTACTTGTTTGCTCCAGCAAGATGGATTCTTTAAAAAACCTTAATTTTAACCGGTGTAATTTCCTCACTGGCAATAGCAAAAAGGCCGTAGTAGTAATAAAGCCTCAGCGTTATTTTTCAAATGTCTTTTTTAACAAGGCTTAATCAACAGTAAAATTAACAGGCCCCTGGAGGGAGCTACCAGCAGTCCGTGCTGACTCACAGACTGAAATTTATTGCAAGGCACTCGTTTGCATTTCCTCCCGCATGCAGAAAGCAACACTGACAGAAGATGTTTGTAGGGAAAAGGGGTGGAGAGCAGGGAGGAACGCGGGCCAGTGGAGTCGGTTTGGTTATAAAGAGCTAGGGAGGAAAGCGAGGCAGCATTTCGGCCCGCAGCTGGGTCTTCGGCGGACTCTGCGATGGCAGACGGGAAAGCTGAGTCACTGCATTCCTCCGTCGGGCTCTTGGGCATTTCCGCAGGTAGGGATCGAGTCTTCTTGGCACGGGAGGGTGAGGTTGGGACTCGCTTTCCTGGACAACCCCCCTTCTCAAAGGGGGCTAAAGGCTCTGTTTATTCTGAATCGTCTCTGCCCTGGGGAAAGCTTTTAGATCCAGAGATCCCTGTGCCTATTTCAGCAGCCAACAAGATGTTTGTCTTGGCTTTAACGTGCTGGCCTGAACTTTTGTACTCAATCCATCCTGGGTGGGAAGCAAATCAAAACTTTTTGGTAGTAATTTTCATAAATGATCTTGATTTGGACGCGCTCTCCTCTCTTTTCCTGTTCGAGCCGCTCTCCCTGCAGCCCTGTTTTCTGTGTTCACTCCCGTCCATTTGCTCCTTCTTTGTGTTTCATCTTTCTGAGTGCTGCCCCTTTCCACTTCTAGGCTTGTTTTCTGTAGGCACAAGGCTTGTGTGATCATCTGTGGAGTGAGTGTGTGTGTCTGCCTTTTGTGTAGTTGGAACTGGAGACCTGATTTCTACATTTATCTGACAACAGGGGAGCGCTTCCAAACATGATTAAGTTCAAGTTTCTTAAAACCAGGCACCTAGAAAGAAGTGAGACCTTGGACACAAACCAAGTCACAAAACCCTCCTCCCAGCTCCTTAGATTTCATTATTTCCAGATCTTGTACTGCTATTTTTCCCTCTATTCCCTGCTCTTGCCACTCTGATTCTCTGCAGGGAGAGAAACTTTTGGGCAAAGTTTACAAGCTCTTTCTTTTTTTCCACCTCCCTTGTCACCCACAGGATCACTCTTACTGGCAGTGCATTTCTACAGTTTACCCAGAGCAGCCCCTCTGATCCCCAGCACAGCTCTAGGAGTCCTGCTGTTGATTTTATCATCTCTTTTGGCATATTCAGGTAAGAGTTTTAAGAGACTGAACACATGATTTCTCTAAAAATGGTTCCCAAGCTTTCTGAGAGTACTTTAGGCATCTGTGGATTGAAATGTCAAGTCGATGTGTAAATGCCAAGAGATGTACCTATCTGAGAGAAAAAAATCACTGGCTATAGCAAAGTCCACACTTCTTAGAATGAACGCTGAATTGTTTCTCCTTTTTAACTGGGAGCAATGAGGACATGAAAATCCAAGATTTGATGCTGGTATTTTTTCCTCTACAAAGCAGGCAGCTTGGGAGGAGACAGTACATATTTTAACCCATAAACACAGGTCCACCTCTTCTCTCAGCCAACGGTGGCACAAAGCATTAGTAGAAAACACTTAGGAGCATCTGTATTGCTGGGACCACGTGGAATGGCCCACTGGGTGGGTGATGTTTCAGAGTTGGTGGGAATCAACAGCCTCCTACCAAAGGCAGGAATTTCTGTGCTCCCTTGCTCCGGGAGATGCAGGCTTCCATGAGTACACAAGCTTGGGGACTCACTCAGCAAAGCTCTTGCTTCCCTTCCCAACTCGAGTCTGGCTCACAAGGCTGTACCAGTTTGAGGAAGAAATGAAGCTCAGGTCCATGACAAAGCTTCAGCTTGGAAGGAAGCTGTCAGGTCTATCCGTGCTGCTCAGTATCCTCGCATCGTGAGGGGAGAAAGCAGAGCAATGAAAATAAGGTACTTTGTGGTATTGTTTGGAGGTAGTAGGTGGGTTCCATTCAGCATGAAGGATTTTAAATCAAGGTCTTTGGCATTTTGGGGGTCAGGAGACTGAACAGGATAGTTCTTGAGAAATAACAAGTTTTGCAATTCCTATGTTTCTGTCTTCTGAGAAAGCCCAGTTGTTCATGGGGATCCAGCAGGTCGTGTGACACTTGTGATTCAAACATTGGACCTGACAGCTTACAGCAGGGATGAAACAAACCGCCAGGCAAGCCAAGAGAAAGAGGTGTCAGGACTTGATTTGCATTAGTATATTATGGTCCCGTTATTGAGTCTTGCAGGCATGACAAGACAATGCCTTGCTGAACTTTGGCTCCATTGGAGCAAACTGCCTGCCAGGCCTGGTACAATACTTAGTTGAAGGAACTCAGGTACTTTTGAGTTCCCCTCGGGCATTCTGATGAACACAAGGTGTTGCACCGATGGAGTCTTTACGATCATGTCTACACCGTGTAACAGGGGATGGTGCAAACCTGCCCAAACCGGTGACAGCTCTGTCTGGCACCATGCAGGGCCTGTGCAGCTCCGTGCCAGCACAGCGATCGTGCTTCCACCACACCGTGTGCCTATGGCACAGCTGCCTCTTTTAACTACCGCTTTCCATAACCCACTGTCCCGAAATCACGGCTGTGTCTCCGTTGTCATTTGTGCCACAGGAATTCGGAGAAGCCTAAGAAATGCCTTCCTCTTCTTGTCTCTCTGCCTGACCATCTCAGTGTTCTGGTGTGGCTACGGAGTGGTCTTCATCCTGGGAGGACAAGGAGTTTTGAACGACACTGGTGATTTCCGCGATGCCTTGGTGCCTGGCCTGGTCACGTTTACTTTGGCACTACTCACGATTGCAGTGGTGGGCTTCCTTTGCAGAGAGGTCATCCTAGCTATGATTGCTTCTGCTGTCTCACTTGCCAGTGCTCATGAAGTTGCCATGCATTATAGCACAGCTTTTGGTTCCTCTGCTGTGGCTTGCAATTATATGATTGTCTGTTTGGTTGGTGGTTATTTTGCTCTGGGAAGGATTCTCTGTGTCCTAACCAAAGAGAAAATTGCCCTCCCTGGCACAGATCTGGCCAAGAAAAAGACCCATGAGCAGATCCAGTCCGCCAGTGGCAGCATGAATCGTTTTGCAGTCAGTGGTCTGATTCTGAACATGCTGTCTGCCAGCGTCTTTGGCTGTAGGCTCCTGGGTGTCACTGGCAAGCTGTTTATCGGCCAAGTGCCCTGGCTGTGGGCAGCTGGGATCTACCAGACTGGCATCTGCATTTTATCATACCGTGCGATGGATGTACTGATGGCGACATTCTTTGGTTTCACTTCCATCCTGAAATTTGCTGGAGGCTATTGCCTTCTGTACCCAGCCTGGCAACCGGAGGAGCCATCTTTCCCTACTCCATTCCTGGTGGTTTTCTCAATTCTTTTTGCTGTCTTGGCTCTTTTTCTCACTCTTAAGAGCCCGGTGGATGGCCTGTATTTGCTGTTTTATGTGGCCTACTGCATTGCTTTAGCTTGCCGTCCCAAGGGGTTTTTTGAAGGTGGACCCCAAGGCGTGGACGTGGCCATCTTTGTGGCCTCAGCCTTGATAACTCTAATTCACCTGTACAATGTGAAAGCAGGTACCAAGATCCCAACAGGGAAGGGTGCTGTGAAGGCCCTCCTTGCTCGCAGCAGCTTTCTGAAGCTTCGTGAAGGGGCAGACCTTCACACTCCTTACCTAGGGTACTCCAAGTATGCAGATGCAGAAGTACTTGGCTATGCATGCAGCGTCCTTGCTTCTTTTGCTATAACAGTGCCAGGGGACCCAGAGGCTCCACTTGCTACTGTTGTAATCCCGTGGGTAGTGGTAGCTGGGGGGATCCTTAAGCTTCTAGGAGGCTCAGTGGCCTTTGCCCGGGGTAAAACTCTGGAGAGCAGTGCCTTCATTCTCTATGCTGTCATGTGGATCATCTGGGGCTTGACGAGATACGGTGGCCTCTATGGCACTACCAGGAGCTTCCACGCAGCGGTAGGCATCATTGCTTTCATGCTCTTCAATGGCTTCATTGTCTTCTGCACGCTCTTCCTAAACACCGCCTGGTTCTTTTACTCCCTCACTTTCATGCTCGTCGCTGTCAGCTTCTTGCTGGATGCCATCCATGCTCTTCCAGCTGGCTATGACATTGCTGCCACCCTCAGCTTTGGTCTGGTCAGCTTTTACTGCTTCCTGTCTGCCCTTTTCAACAGCATCTTTGAGGGTTCCTGCTTACCCATGGGTAGGCCCATTGTGCAGCTCAGTGGTGTGGGGGGAGGAATGACCAAGTGCCTTCACCTGCCTGCCAGGAAAGCTTCCTCAGTCAAGAGAATTGCAGGTAAGGGAAATGCACAGGGCATGATGTGGGGGTGGAGGGTGAATTCTGGGAGGTTTTGTAGCAGAAAACTATTAAAAGGACATTGTTCCAATGCAGATGTGGAAGCCATGATAGTTTGATGATGTTTTGACGAAGGGGGCCAAGTTACAAGAGTGATTAGAAGCTGAAAACACTAGGGGGGAAATAGGACTGATTCCTTGATAGGAGATGGGTTTAGCAGTCAATTTGCTGCTGCCTTTCCTGTGTCATATCCCTGTCTGCTCATCCAGTCTGAGCTACGTGAATCCTCCAGGCTGGGGCTACCACTGAAAGCTTGGTACAGAGAAATCAGGGCAAATGCATGGTGCTTGCTCTCTCCACAGGGCTGAATGACTTCTGGCCCTGGTGAACGTGGCCCAGAACTCCCCTAAATGCCAGATCTCCTCTTGGATGAATGCTAGAAAAATGCACTGTCAGAGGAAATGCTTTGTTAGCTGGGAAAAGGAGATGAGAGCACTGAATTGGCTGTTTTGTCTGTGACAGCTCTTCCGTGAATTACAGCCCCTCACTTCTAGTCACTCAAGGGGTTCTGCCCTGTTCACATGCCAACAGATATCCTGAAGAACGGAGGGACTTGCGGCATCCCCACAGATACTGTGTATGTGCTCGTGGCAGCTTGTAATCGGCCTGATGCTGTGGAGAAAGCTCACCAGTAAGTATTTGTCGTGCTGCCCCAGTAAGGGCTTCCCTGCTTCGTCTAAAGAAGCCCCCAGGACTGGTAGCTGCTGCTGAGGACTGGCTACAGCAGCCATCGAGAGCAATGAGACACACAGCTTAGCCTTCACGGGAACAACCAGATGATGAGCCTGGGGGAGAAAATCCAAATGTGGAGACAGTTGATCTGTAATTGTCTTCTAGCATATTGGAGACTCCTGGCAAACCCAAAGCCAAAGAAGTGGCAAATGGGGCAGGGGGTTATTGTACGTATTTGTAGGTACATATTGTCGCAACCGAAACCCCTCTCGTGTTTAACAAATGCTTCTAGCTGTACTTTTGCAAGCAGCCGGGACCCCTTGTATTGGTGGGGTTTCCTCAGAACTTGGGCAACTGGGACCTCTACCCATCACTAATCAATAAGCTAAAAGCTTGATTTCAGAGTAGACATTCTTGACTGGGAATAGACACTAATGTCCCTTCCTGTCTGGTGACCTGGGGCAGAGCCCACACACCTTGACTTATTTCTAAGCCTCACCAACACAATTTCCTTTTCAGTTTGAGAATAAACCCCCATCTTACTTCAAGGCTCATTTTTCTTGCCTCCTTTCCAGCTCCAAGCGCCAGGCTCAGGATCGCCCCATGTCACTCTGGATTTCTAGCCTAAAGCAGCTGGAACCTGCAAAGCATTTGTTCACTCCCCTCCTCTGGGACTTCATGGAGGCTGCTTGGCCATCTCCTATTAGCTTGGTGGTTCCCAGAGGTGAGGAACTGCTCTCACTTCCAAGCTCTCTGGAGACCTTTGCCTTTGAAACTCTGACTTTAAGTCCCTGCAACGCCACATAACTCCGTGGCGATGTTTCTGGTAAGGTCATTGCGTTCGGGCCGATGTGCACCTGTCCGTGCTGTGTGACTCTTCCTCGCGCAGGTGAATGGGTGGACTTCCTGGGAATGCAGGACTCTGCGAAGTACGTCGGTACCCCTCAGAGCGTTGCCATCCGCATCCCCGACTGCTCCGTCACCACACACCTCATCGACCTGGTGAGTGGCCAGAGCACGCTCCTCCCAGCAGCACTGCTCGCCAGATCTTGCCATGCGACCGTCTGGGGACAGGCTTGGTGCCAGGCACGAGCACCCGGGTCCTCTGGCCTGCTGGAGGGGAGAAGGACTGTGAGAGGCTGGAGCACTCTGTCAGCTCCCTCGGCAGGTCACCTCTCCTTTTCTCAATTAAGAGGGGGTCCTAGCGCGTTCAGACAGGTTTGGGGGGGGGGTGAAAAGTGCTAAAATCAGTCACTCAAGAGAAATACCACAAGAAAAAGTAACGCGAGAAAAATATCGTTAAGAAGGGGTGTGGTATGCCGGCAGCTGGTGGCTGATTTTATTGCAGAAAAGAAGGTAAAAGGAATAACCACCGGGTCAGAAAACCAGAAAAGATGCAATTAACGGACAGTTTGTCTGATTCCCTACATAGAACAATTCTGTTGCAAACACAGACTTATCTGAAGCCAGAATAACTTCAGAAGGTCCAGAATGCGGCCAGAGGGACTGTGATACCCTGCGTGTTCTGCTCATTTCTAGGACAGACATTGTAGTCTTTGGAAATTGCTATTGATGGAAAACAAAACGTTCTTTCTTGATCAGCATCAGTAAACCCCAATTCTTCAGGGTGCTGGTCGCCCATACGCAGATTTGGTGGGACTGTAGTTGCCTGCAAAGTAGGTGTCTCTACTGGGTGAGCCACACTGGCTTCTCTTCAGAGTCACAGAGACCCACGAGTGAACTTCAGAGTTCGAATCATCTGTTTTATACGGCAAAACCTGCTCAGAGCTTTTATTCCCATTTTTCTGTCACCAGGTTGGCCCCATTGCGGTCACGTCAGCTAACCCAACGGGAGAGGCAGACACAACACACCACAACCAGGTGTACGCCAAGCTGGGAGATAAGGTAACTGGGCTCTGGGACTTTTCATTCCAGCTGGTCCTGAAAGATGTGGGGATGGAGGAACGCAACCACTTTGTTTCCAGCAGGCAAATCAATAGATGATATCAAGAATCTGGGAAAGCATCTCATTAAAAAAAAAAAAAAAAAAAAATCTCGCGGACACTCCTCATATTGGTGTCATAGAGAAAGGACAGTGTAAAATACAGAACTTGGTGGGAAAACAAAATTCTTCTGATTTATACAGTATAGTTGTAGTTGGCTCGGCAATGTGAGTTAGTTCATCTTCCAAGACAGAATGATATGAGCAACAAAAAAAAATGCTTCTTTGCTTACAAGCAATAAAACTACCGATGCCTGAATGCACCAGGGCTCCAGCTGGCGTTGAGCTGCCAGAACACAGGGGATTCCCATCTAAAGCTGAAGCTGGTCTAAAACTGGTGCCAAAGCTCCAAAATATTCCCGGCTTTTAGAACTTCCGTAAGTTCTGGAAGCACAATGGTCGTGGCCGTTCAGATGGATGTCTTTCATTTCTCTGCTACATCCCGAGTGTACTACATCTTGCATATTCATGGCAGCTTACGTGGGGGCAGTTTTTAACAGAAGGTGGTACAAATCTTCTACCTATAACTCCTCAGAAACCTGGTTTTCTACATGTTTGCTTTGTGGATGAGACTTCTTCAAAGCTCCTCAGCTGATGTATACCTGTCTCTGCTGTACTGCTGACCTACACCCCACAGAGCGAGCTCTCTTTGCTTTTATTAAGTTCATTCCTTCCAAATTCAGCCCTCGGTGTCAATACGGTGGGGTAGGAAGGGGCAGAATTGCCTTTGAAAATAATTACCTGCTGTTGAGAGGGGGAAACTCCCCTCTCCTTTCCCAAGTGCCTGAGGGGAACTTGGTGGGAACATCCATTGCTCTTCAGGTGGATGCAGTTCTTTGTGATGGGCCTTCTCCAGAGAACATTGCCTCCACCGTTGTGGACTGCACCAAAATCGACGGTGGAAACATAGGATTCTTCAGAGTCGGTATCATCCCCAAGTCTCAGGTAAAATTAATCTTCATTTCACGTCTGCTCCTTTTCTCCATCTCCACTGAGTGGGTTTCAGACCGGGGGGGTTCCCTTGTTCCGTAAGGAGGTGAAGAAAGCTGTGGTAGCATGAGGCGTTATCACAGAGTGGTGTGAAAAGCAGAAAAACCGAGCTCCACGTTGCCTGTGGCCTGATCCTGCCTCCGGACCACCACCTCACCTCTCTGTGCTAAGCACGTTGCTGTGGGACGTGCGAGGTGAGACCGACCTGTTTGCAGAAAGAGATCCAAGATCACGGAGCTCCACGGGGCAGGCTCTGCATTTACACCCATCCCGGGGACCTCTGAGCGTACAGAGATGCTTGGTGCCACCCCAGGGCTGAGCCCGGGGGGAGGACACGGCGTTACTTCAATAGCTGGAGAAGAAACCAGTGCTTTCCCCGAATTCCTAACTCGCTCACAGCTGTGTTTGCTAATTCCAGGTGCTGCAGATACTGGAGGAGGTGCAGAAGAAGCACGCCCTGGTTCCTAGCAGCGGCACTTGCACCACAAAAGGCCGGGAAGAAGATCTGAATCGCAGCCCTGCTCTGGGCAACGGGGTGGGCATGGCCCCCGGTGATGTCTGCAAGAGCCACACTCGCTTCTGAGTCCTGTGCAGGTCAAGCAGCTACGTGCTCACTAGGAAGTTTATCTTTTTTTTTTTTTTTTTCTTTTTTTTTTTTTTTTTTTTCTGGAAAATGACATATAGGTCAAACTGGGGAATGGGAGAGGTCTCCCAGCTGTGGGGGGTGACTTATTCATCTTTTTATGAATACTGCTAAAATACCCCAGTGCAGAGCTGCCTTACAAACCATAGTGGCCCAGAAGTAAACTTTTCACCTGGGGAGCCTGCCAGCTTTCACTGAAGATCAGACACGACCAAAGAAAGTGTCATGGCAGTGACAGACTGGCCTCCGAGTAACAGAGCTTCGTTCCTTTCACTGGGAGTTAACATCTTCCATTTGGGGCACAGAGTGATGTGAAGCGTTTCATAATTACACGTCGCGGGGAAAAACCACCGCGCGAAACTTGAGGTGGGAGAAGGGAAGATACATTCAGGTCCTGTGCTGGTGAATACAGGGAGCTTGCTAAAATAGGTGAGGCAGAGTGTGGCCAGGGGAGCTGGGGCTGTCTGCTGACGTGTCCTCTCAAAGTGGAGCTCACAGAACCCAATGCTAAAAAGAAACGCCCTGATCAGAGATGCCATTTTCTGTATTTCACAGCCAGTGTGAGGGTGGGATTACCGTCTGGATGACTCCAACAACATCTCCTTAGAAGGGCTGGAGCGTTATGGAAGACCCTCCCTTCCTGTGTTATCTTATGCAGAGTATGAATTTCAGGAGAGCCATCTGCACTGCATTTGAGGACACTCTAGAAGCTGCTCTCCTACCTTAGAGCCTAACTGTACACGCCTCATGGTACATCTCCTCCAGAGTGCAGATTTAGTGCAATGGTAGCTGCTGACCGGGAGGAGGTGAAAAGAAGCTTCAAACCAACACAAAGGAGTTTTCCTTGGCCCAGACTGCATGGCTGTGCAGTTAGTGGCTTGTTTAGCCTCTGAAAACTGTTGATCTTATTCTTACCTGACTCAGGTGCAAGGTGCTGATCAAACTCCAGCTGAAACCAATGAATTGCTTCATTGATTTCACCTGAAGTCATGCTGGAACTTAAGCATAAATGCTGTGCAGTCAGAGGAGCTCAACCTCTATGAGCTACAACAAAACCAGGTCTTCTCAGCTTGTTCTTACAGAACTGGCTCTCTTCCTGCAGAGAAAGAAAACGCCAGGTATTTGGGTTTGTTAAATAATTTTGCTGGTCTACTTCCTGTTATCTCTTTGGAGTTTATTAAAACTGATTTTTAGAAAGCAATAAAATATTTTCAATAAACAGTCATATCTCACGCGAGACTGTGCTATCATCTCTGGGAAGTACCTGGAAAAAACCTCGTGAGTCGAAGAGTGATGGATTTCAGCACGTAAGGGTCCTGGCTGTGCACAAAGGAGCTTATGAGGGAATCAAATCACACCACTTCCCCGCGTGGGGAAGAGGAGGGAAAAATAAGATAACCCTTGATATCAGCCCCCTGGTGCCAGCTCCCCTGCCGAGGAGTGCTAAGAGCTCACAAACGCCAGGGCTGAATTTTACCCTTTAACTCAGCAAAAAAGAGCCATAAACACTGAAATCTGAGGGAGTGGCAAGAAGCGTTAATCTGGAGAGGTGCTGAGGCATTGCGAAGCCTTTTGCTGTGGGCAAACAGCCCTGGCTTAAATATACCAGGGATGCTGCTGCTCTGTGCTGCAAATAATGACGCGTTTTAGCGTGCCACGAGTTAAAAGGGGTTTAAAAAGCTGGATTCTTCACAAGGTGCCTAGCCTGGGTCCATTTTTCCTCTTTCACTCTCTCTCAACTGTGCTTGTTTCTTACAGAAAGTTTTGATCACAGTATCAGGACACTGGGAGAGCGTATCAGGGAACCGTTTCTCGCTTATTTCTCACTTTCCTGAGTGAGGTGTAAGACTGGGAGATATTTAAGTTCAGCCCTTATTTTACTCCACTTGCAGCTCTCCTGTGTAAAAGCAAACTGGGGAAAAAAAAAAAAAAAAAAAAAAGTTTAGGGAAGAGGGAGGTTTAAATGGGGTGTTTCAGTTAAATCAAGGCAAAAAAATTTCTAATATTTCCAGAGTTTTCTCGGCACTCAAGGTGAAGAAAAACACTTTTAAGTGGAGAGAGAGGAAAAGCCCCTGTTTTAAGTGGCAAATCCAAACCGCTTCAATATGAAACTGTTGAGGCAAACATTTTAACTTTTTTCAGCATGTTTTCTGAGAGATCACAGATCAAATCCACTTTGAGGTATTGACAAGAATCTATCGAGTATTTTCATCGCTCTAAAAATGTAGGTTTTGGTGAAAAAAATGGTTGCGCAGCCCTCCTCAGAGGAGACTCTCGTTGAGCCCTTTGGTGCTGCTCCTCTCCTGTCCTGCTTAACGGGAGGGGATTGCCCCACTGCAGTGTACCGAAGGAGGGGACAGAGAGGGACTTGGGGTCCTCAGACCTCCCTCACAGGAGGAGTTTGAAGTGACTGAGGAAAATCAGAGCCTTCTGGGGAAGGCCAATTTTAGTTGTATTGTCCGTGACTCGGAGGCCTTTAGGCCTGAAATGTCACCCTGGGTGGCAAAATAAGCTCGTGAATGGGCTTCTTTGTGAAATAGCCGACTTAATCCCACTGGGGTTGGGAACAACCCAGGAAGAAGGGCTGTCCCACCTTGATTTTGCCCTTTGTGGAGTCCAGACATCCGTGTCAATGGAAATTAAAAAAAAGAATGGAAAATAAAGAAGTGTGTTTTCCAGTCGCAGGAAAAAACCAGCTCACCCTTCTGAGAATAGAGCTGTGCCATAGGAACAGGAACTGACTCAACATCTTCAAGGATGCGTGTTGGTATAGTGGGTGGACCTGATACTAGAGTGGGTAGAGTGGTTCAGAGAGGAAGGGCGGCATCCCAACCACCTCTTGAGTGCAACCAGCCGAGCAGAAGCCTTGAGACACGGGCAGAGTCATGAATGTCCCTTGACCACCCCCAACGTAGAGGAACACCAAGAACTGGGAGCTCTGTAGGGACAGAGCCCTCTCCTCCTTGCCTCCTGCTTCTGAAATACGAAAGTCAAAGTCTAGCTTGGGATGGGATGTGAGGTGGAGGGAAAGGCAGAGGCAAAGTCCTGTTTAATTGGGTTATAATCAGTCGAAGCAAAACTCTTTGATCTTGGCATTGTTGAGTGCACAGCATCTGAAAACACAACCTGCAGTGATTTTATGTCATACTCACCTTGCTGCGTCCTTCCTGGTACTCCTCCCTAACACCAACGGCCTACTGTTATTACCACAAAATGACCAGACAATCTGGTTTGTTGCTTTTCGGGGAAATACCGAGAGCAGCAAAGGAACAGCATATTTCAAAATCCTGGGCCAGCTCTTCAGCTGCTCCACAAAACACAGCTTGGACTTACATACCTGAGGGCTGAGCTGTGGTGCCCAGCCAAAAGCTGGACAGCCTCTAACGGCCTAAAGCCATCTGGGAGCCCCGCCATTTGTGCCCACCGTAATTCTAAATTTACCGAGTAGCTCTGAGCTGAGGCTCAGGATAAGTCAGAACAGAGATAGCTGGGTGACAGCAGCCAGGCACTCAACCAAAGCAGAAAATAACTCTGTTAAAGTTATCTTTTGCTGCATGTCTCCCTCGCTGTAATTCACGCCTCACCTGAGGTTGTCTGGTGTGGAGCAGCGTTAGAGAATTTATCTACCTCGTGAATAAAATCAATTGTTTAAAAAGTCTTGGGGGAAAGTGCAGCGGTCTGGGAATTTAGCTTCTTGAGTCATAACAAGAATTATCAGGATTAACTTCCCGCGGTGACTCCACCGTGTTCTTCCTTTCTGCCCCAACTAGAAAAGCATCTGACGGCTCCAAGGCTTTCACAGCAGGGGCTGAGGAAGGAAAGGCTCCGTGGTAGCTGCATCGTTGGGCAGGGATCGGTGGGATTATCAGATCACCGCGTTCCCCTGCTCCGTCTCCAGGGTTGCTGGCATCTCGCTGCCGACGGAGCTCAGTTAACAACCACCCACGTGTGTGAGGGCTCGTCTTCAGCTCAGTGGCCCCCGTGGTGCTTGTCCGTGACCTGGGACCCTGCACCTCCAGCTCAGTCGGTGGAGATGCCTAACCCAGCAGGCTCTCCGCTGAGATCCAACGTGCATCGGTGGGGCGTGAAGGTGCACAAAGGCTGCCGGGCGCAGGATGGAGCCCCCCGCGCTGGTTCCTGGCTCAGCCCCCCCCCAGGGATCCCACAGCAGCACCGCCGTGGGTCCCCGACTTCTCAGCCCCACGGGCTGGCTGGAGGAAGATAAAGCGCTGCAGGGGGGGTCGTGTTGGGGGGCTGGATGGGGAGGTCTGTCCTGTATATCCAGCTCGGCACTTCCAGCAGCCATAATAAATACCTCAGCTGAAAAGCCCATGTTCAAAGGCTCAGAAGTGTTAGTTCTTGTGAGAATCACCTTTTCATTCCTTCCTGGAAAACACAAAGACAAGATCTTTCTCATGTTATTATCTCTTCCCGGATACCAAAAAAGCAGGAATTTCAACAAATTCTCCTGCTCTGGCCGCGAGACGGATGTCAGGGTTCAGAGAGTTATCCTGAGATAGATTTATCTGTCTCGGCAGCTGTGGAACAGAGACGCTGCAGTCCCTCCAGGACCAGCCCTGCCCAGGCACCTCTGAGGAAGCTCACGTTCTCCACGTACAGCTGCAGAAGCAGAAAAACCTTTCGACCGTCTCGCAAGGCAGCCCACCTTGCTGATTTATTTATCTATGCGGCTCTCAGAGGTGCAGGGGTTGTAGGATCACGTCCCAAATTTAGGGAGATGTTCACGACCTGAGCACCGGTGTCCGCAGACCCTATTTTTCATATTATCCACCCAGCAGGAAGTAACATGGGCCTTTGATAATGAGATATTTATTGGCCAGTTTCAGTAAATAGCCAGCTCTGAATTCCTTCTCTGACATAACACCCATTACCGGAGGTACTGCAGCCACCTTCCTCCTCTGACCTGACCGCTGGTTTACACCAAACAACTGCCCTTCTATCTGCTGAATTAATGACAGCTGCATAGAACCAGTTTCTCACTGTTACGGGTTCCACCATGACCTTGTACCGTCAGTGACAACACCCTAAGACAGCAGGATGTGCCCAGATTTCCTTTCAGTGCACTGTTCTTAAGGACCTGGAGGATGGGTAAGCACCAGCAGCACTGGCTCTGCCCCGGCCAAGCTCACCTTATCTCCTCAAAATTCCCGTGAGACCCCCCCAGCCGCCTCTGGCATCCTTTCCCCTGCAGCCTCGCTAAGGCCCGTGCCCTCCCACACTGGGTTATCAGCTCTGACATGACCCAAGGGGTACCACAGCCCCCGTCCTCCTTCTCACCACCCCCCTACAATTGCTCCAGGCCCTCCTCGCTTGCGGCTCCCAGCACCTGCGTCCACTTGCAAAATAAACCCAGTCCTGACTGGTAATGCAAGAGTCTCTTGTGGGAAGTAGAAAAGGCAGCAGAGGTGGAGGGGGAATAAAGAAGGAGCAGATGTAGCAGCGTGCTACGGTTTCAGGAGTGAAGAGGAAAGCAAATCCAGTAGGCAGCAATGGCCCTGACTGCTGGGACACAGGCCATGCTTCTCCTCGGCCACAGAAAGAGCTGAGACAGGCTTTCCACACTCATAATGAATGTTGATTGTGTTCTCCATCTCGCTCCCAAGCTCTGGCTCTCCAAAGACACAACGAAGTGTCAACCAAAGGGAGCTGAAGGCCTTGTCTGTGCCTCTTCCTCGCTAAACCTCTGATATGAACCTAAACAGCTTTGGGGGGGGGGGTTCATAACTGACGACCAGCTTTACACAGCAGCAGTTGGGTCCTTTGAGGTTGCCTTGTCTGTGATGCTGTGGGTTTTGGTGACTTTTTGAAATTTTTGGGCACGCTTTGCCCAGAACAGTACAATTAATTCTGTCTACTGAGAAAGTGAGTCCCACCAGATCTCCGGCCGAAGCATAGGAGTCAGGGAGGAGGGTGTATGTGTGTGTAGAACAAACACTAGAGACTGGTTATTTCTTCCTGCTACTCTGCATGAAATAATGATAAATGTGCATTGATAAAATGCAAATTTGTGGAGTTAGGACCTCAGTGCCTCCAGGAAGATGTCCTTTCCTGACTCATGAAATTATGTGACAGATAAAATGAAATAATCAATCCGTGAAAAAACAAGAAGAAGGAAGGAGACAGGTATGGGCAGAGCAGAACCAAAACCAGACAGCACAACTCTAGACATGGGCCAGTTCCAGGAAGGAAGTAACCAACTCATGGGACCTGC